CAAAAGGTCATTCATTGGTAATTAGAATAAACACAATGAAATAATAGTTACAGTTTTAAACAGTGGCATCTATGGTTGTTGAAGATTCTCATTCTTTTCACCATTTAGTAGAGTGCTCAATGCTATAAAAGTGTGTAAACAAAACTCACTCATTGAGAACCACAAATTCTCAAAATAGCTACCATTTCTTGAATTATCCTAGATGCATTTGAATTGTGCACAGTTGCGGGATCTAAGTTCCAAGTCGATAGCTCCAAGCAAAACGTCCAAGATTTGTTTTTATTGTTGGTTTGCTACTTGCTATTGAACAAACACTTGATTCTTGTGCCTAACTCAAGTGATGAATATGCAGGAAGAGGACTAGGCCAAGCAGCATATGATATGAAACAAGTAAGCAAATATAAAGGTAGGATACAAAGAAAAAAAAAAAAAAGTAGAACCTGAATTGGAAGTTCACAGCCAGGTTTGATTAGACATGCCCTAGAATTAATCTAAAAATTTATCATCTAGAAATGGCACCATAAATGAGTTTAACAATAAATAAATAAATAAAAGAAAAACCTCAAGATCAAAAAGAGATGTGAATTCCTGAACTTAAACTAAAAATCTCAGGCCAGCTCAACCTGACAATTAAAATGAAAAGATAGGGAGAACTCCCCCATGTGGCCCAATGGATGGGCCACACTACTCCACGAGTAGCAGGTGGAGTTCGCCCGATCCTTGGTTCGACTCTGACCCTGACCAGATACTAACTCACTAACCCAGTATTCCCCTTGTCAAAAAAAAAAGAAAAAATGAAAAGATAGGGAAAATGCCTAAGTCCCTAACACAGCCTCTATTATCTCATAAAATCAAGGAAGAGAATATAAAGGACAGTCTATGAAAAAAAATGAAATGAAAGGAACAATAAACTTACCCATGCGAATATGTCATCCTCTGCTGAGCTTGAAGCTGGACTCATAAGGCTCTGACTACGTGCTGTCCAGCGCTGTTCTATAGGAGCAGGGGCAGGAACATCTTCCTTCTCAATGAGTTGCTTCAGCTCTTCTATGTATTCAAGATCTTTAATTGATGGCTTGGAAAGAGTTCCTGCAGGAAAACAGATCTCTGATACCCACTGTTGCCCACCACAATCGAAGCCCAAGATTTCATCGCTCCATCCTACTCTATATCCCTCTGATTTCTTCCAGAATTCAGCTTCTACTTGGTTTACCTTTATGACAAGGTCTTTGTTGAGGGGATCAAGAGCAAGCAGTTTATCTCTTAACTCTGTGAATGAAAGCTCATTTATGTCTGGTTCTCTGCTGTCAGATGATTTA